TGGTGTTTCACTAAAGTCAGAAATAACTAAAACTAAATCAACAGGTGTACACGTTGTGTTGAATAGCATTAGTCTTTCTGAGGAAGAGCTGCTTAAGAGGGAGTATCAGATCCCAGGTTATCCTCAGTACGAAGAACCATGTTAGTGGAACACTCTGGAGAAGGTGTGGAAAAAAATAAAGGATGTGAGTTCATGGGCTCAGGTTTATCTGGTTGTAATCCTAACTTTGCTTGCAAGTGTGAGGACTCGTGGAACAACACATATAGTTGTTTAAGACAGGTAAGCAGTGAGCAAAATTTTCTGTTTTGTAAATGGGAAGATGGTGAGTCATTCCAAGAAATGTATGACCTGAAGAGCGATCCACAGCAACTGAACAATACAGTTGGAACAATAAAGAAAGACGTCCACAAGAAGTTGAATAATCTGCTTCGCAATTTAAAAGATGTAGAGGGGTAAGGTGTGCAGAACTCTCTAGTTTTGTTATTTAGCAGTATTAAATTGTACAGTGTAAATTTATTTTTTGAATACAGAATATTGTGATATATAAATTTTTAATAATGCTTTGTGATGTTTCTGACTCAGCACAGTGGGAGAAACCTGGAAATACTATATTTATCAAATAGATTGATATATATATTTTTATTTTTTTTTATTTATATTTTTTTTGTTGAGAAAAGAAATTCCAACTTTGCCTGTTTTCTGTTGGAAGTTGTCTATCATGGGTTACTGTAAAATAGTAAAGGTAATGGAAAGGTAAATAGAGGATGGGCTAAATTGGCATCTCGGGGTTGAGGGACTTGATGAGATTGACAAGGAAGTCACTTTCCTTTTGACTTGTTTGGACACTGCAAGTGCAAGATAAAATTGAAGGGGTCAGCAGCCTCCTGTGATATTAGACATTAAGTTCACTCATTGCTTCAAGTAACTGTTAATGGTAATTAAAGCAACATTCACATATGTGTATTGTTTTTACATACAGGGAATGGAGACTGGTTCATCCCATGTTATGATGATACAGAACCGCATGTTGTATATTACAACGATTTACTAAATACTAGCTAAACAGAAATGTAGATAGAACTTGACATATTTTTGTAAACTCCATTTAGTTGTTTCTTTGCTTTCTTTTGCTGTATAGGCACTTATGAAAAAAAAAAGGAAATCTGAAAGTGATATTCAAGTGTTCATTTCCTTGCCGAAATTGATAACAGTATTATCTTTATTGTTCTTGTTCAGCCTTTGAGTATCTCAGTTCATGACCACTTCTGGAGATGTGAATAGCGTTGTTGGTTTGAATTCCCTGATTGGCAAAGAATTTCAGAATATGGGAAAGGTATTAATTTTATTTTTCTAAAACAGAAACTTTGGCACCTTAGCCTGGGATATTTCCATTTAATAAAAGAAGAAAAATTCTCGTAGTAATTTTTAGTTGTGAAATGTCTTCCTCAGATGTCTTCCAGTTTTATTTTAATATTGAAATCAGCATTGGAATTCAAGTTAATGACTATCGTGTACTTTTAATTCCTCTTGATTTTATCTCTTTACTTACATTAATATTTGTATATATATCCAGTGCAGCATTTGTTATTAAAGCATACATTAGGCTTAAGTATATTGGTTATGTGATACAATTATATATTATCAGAGAAAGGATAGTGCAGCTTGAAGAGGCAACAGCAGGTATAGCTTGATATGAAGAACATAAGAGAGATTTTATAAGGAAGGTATTCCTGTATTTTTTGCAATTTTCTAATCATGGAAATCTTAATTATGTCCATTATTGTGCCATGATTTCACATTTTTGTTCTCATTATGAATTCATTAATCTTTTTGTGTTATGATTTGTAATGATAATCCTACGCTTTTATTTTCATTACTATACATGGCAATTACTTATAGATATTTTGAGAATGAAATATGGTTTTATATTTGTATTTAGTTTATGATGGTGCTTATTTTCAAAAAAAGGTTGTTGAAAGGAATCTTTTTAGGTATTAATATTGTTTTTTTCATTTTAGATGTCAATAAATTTTTTCTTGTGTACCATTATAGTTTATTATCCCTATATAACAGTATTTTGATTCAAAAAAATAGTGTATCTGCAAAAGGGTGCATTGTAACAAATTTATTAAAGGCATGAATGGCAATGAGCACCTCCACAGTGCAAGATACGTTATATGTTTTGTGATGTTATATCGTCACCAAAATTACATTTATTGATTGAATTAGATCTTAGAACTAAACCATTAGTTCCGCAACCCGTTTTGTGGAATTACTCATTCTTGTTTATCACCTTTTCTACGTGTATGGAAAACAGCAAACCTGAACTCTTTTTGAGGTCAAAGGTTGCATGTCACCCCACTGATGCCAGGATGACATGTATGTGCCAGTGTGTCCAAAGTTTATTCATGTTGTTTCACGCAGAGGGTTCCACAAGAGCTTAGTTATCAAGGAGTAAATTACTGGTATTACTTATTTTACTTGTTTAGCCTTTTCCTTGAAATTTGGAAAGATTCTTTTTTAATTTTCAGTGCTATTAGTACTTGACAATACAATCAGCATAATGTCAATAATAATAATGGCTACTAATATTAATAGTATTAGAGAAGATATTTTTGAAAGGGAATTCAAGAAAAGGGAAAATCTTGCAAATTCATGTAGGTCTACAAGTTGATTTTCCTTAGTGACTGTCAAAGTTATCCCATATCTATCTGGACGTAAGGGACATGATTTGTAGAGAAAGATGCTTACTGAGCCACGGGATGATGCGGTAGGGTGGCCAGTTCCTTTCTGCCCCGACTTTGACTGCAGTATGCTGATGTCGGCATACCGGTACTCATTCACAGCTGAGTTGACTGAAAGGGGCAGCCGGGCGTGAACCCAGGATTGCAAAGCCAGCGCTCTACCACTTAGCTATGCTACCTCCTTGGTGACTGTACACTTAACAAAACTTGCAAAACAAAACTACATTGGGCATTACAAGTTTCTGGTGCCAATTGGTTAATTTAGGTTTCAATTTTCCTGCCAGCAAATAATCGCATTAGGCAGTGGCCACTATATAATGGTGCATCAAAACTATTTTTTGCAAGACTACATATAATGAAAGAGCCACATATATAAATCTTCATTATCAATTAGATATAAAAAAATATTAAATCTATATAGATTTATCTTTATCTATATCTGTATTTATATATAACTATATCCATCTAGCTTTTGAGATCAAGATTCTAACAATAATTCATTTATGAAATATTTCAGAGAGCTGCCATGAGTAATACTATGCTATTAAAGAATCTTTTGTAAAGAAAAATAATCCTTTCCATGATTGGAGGGTTAAAGATTTTATTAAAATTATTTCTTAAGAACTTTTTGGGAATACTATGAAAGCATTGTAAAACGGACAAAGCTATGGTAAACTTTGTATGTTTGCAATGAGCAATTTTATGGTAAACTAATTTTAATTCCTGAAAATGTGGTGAAGCTGTGATGTGAAAAAAAACAATTAACTTTTGAGAATCATATTATCATTCTACTTTTTTGTGTACCTAAATGTTAAAAATACATGCATGCAGCTGCAACCACAATGAACACACCCATACATGTATGCATGCAAACAAAACACATTTTTTTTGTGCATGTATTTTATAAGTAAACCAATACACTGTGATAAACCCAAGTAGATTTATTCAATTGTGTATAATCAGAAAATAATTGAAATAGTATATCACTTAATTAACATGCCATATCTATCTCATATATTTTCTATATATAAAAGGACTTTTAAAACAAACACCTGGGGAAATATAACAAGTAAATAATAAAAAAAGTAAAAAAAAAAAAAAAGTTCAAAGGTATTCTGGGAGTTATCTTGAAACAACACATAATTTCCGATACGATGAGAATAAAATCAATTGAATTGTTGACAGAAAATCAGAAATCCCACATTGGGTTTAAACACGTATTTTTATGAAAAAGAATCTTCGAGTTTATGACATTATATTTAGAAATAAATCCCTTACATCTTGAGTATTTAGGCTTACTTAAAAACCTATACATACTAAACTATTGAATGTAAACTATTACAGTTTACACTATTAACTACTTCTTTAGAAAATGTTAACATCAAAATGCCATTTCTGAAAAAGATATTTCTATAGTATCTTTAAATATACTTAACTATTTTTTTCTGTCTCAAAAAGCACTGTAGCTATTACATGAAAATCCCAAACAAGTTGCAGGACATGTGGAAATATATATAAGCTGCTATGCTTATACACACGCACACACACACACACACACACACACACAAACACATGCATATTACATCCAGCATGTTCTCAAGCAGCAAATCAACAAATAAGTACTGCAGTTAAGACCCGTAAAAGGTCACAGACGCCGCAAGACCTTTGCCAAGTTTTCCAAGTCATTCTGCTCCCAGTCTTGAAAGAGGAAGGAGGCAACTGCATTTCTTGACGAGGTTTGTGTGTTTTTGATTCTTGTTTCGCCATATGTGGCTGTTGTTAACATTTGGCTCTGTTTTATTAATATTAAGTCTTTAAAATGTAGTGCTGCATTGTATTTCTTACGTTCAGGGTCAGTGGATGAGCTTTAAATTTTCCCGGTTAGAAAAGAGGCATTTTATTATTTTTTGTAACATTTTTTCTTCATCTAATCTACAACAAAAAAGATGTACTGATTATCATGTTTACGAAGATGCCATACTCAAACTGAAGTTCTATATCTGAAGTTTTCCAAGTCAGTCTGCTCCCAGTCCTGAAAGAGGAAGGAGGCAACTTGCATTTCTTGACGAG